CTACAGGAGAGCACCACCATGCCCGGCTAATTTTTCATTTTAGTAGAGACAGGGTATCACTCTTGCTGAGGCTGGTGTAGAACTCCTGAGCTCAAGCAATCCTTGAGCCTTGGCCTCCCAGAGTGCTAGGATTACAGGCGTCAGCCACCGCATCTGGCCTATCACAATATTTTAATTGTACACTCTTATATCTGGTATTGCAAGTCCTTCTTCAGTAGTTTTTATCCAAAATTTTCTTTGTCATTCTTGACTATTTATTCTTTCATGTACTTCAGAATTACTTTATTAAGTTAAAAAAGATTCACTTTAAGCACATATGTTTTGCTATGGAAAAATGCCCAAGATATAATAAACGAGAAAAGCAAGTTGTACAACAGTATGTATGTTATCCTTCTTATAATTAAAAAAAAGTCAGAAAAAGCATAGAGGTGTGTGCATGCCCATGTGTATGTGAGAATACACATTATAGATATATTAAAAAGTTCCGGAAGAATGGGTCAAAAAAAAATTGTGTTTTTTTTTTTGAAATAGGGTCTCGCTCTGTCACGCAAGCTGGAGTGGGGTGATGTGATCACAGTTCACTGCAACCTTGAACTCCTGGGCTCAAGCGATTATCCCACCTCTGCTTCCCAAAGTGCTGGGATTACAGGTGTGAACCACCTAGCCCTGTCCCCCAAAATTATTAACAATTATTAACTTTGATGAGGGAGAATGGACATTGTGGGGAAGAGGAACTCTTGCTTTTGCCTATAGTCTTTTCATGTAGTTTGGATATTCTACGGTAAACATGCATTACTCTTACAATTTAAAAAAAGTCTTTAAAAAAGTCTTCCAAAAAGGATATTAAAAAGCTATTTACACACAAAACGGAAAATACTGTATGAGTCCTCTCATGAGAGGACTACCTGGAGTAGTCAAGTTCATAGAGACAGAAAGTATAACGGTGGTTTCTAGGGGCTGGGGGAAGGGAGGAATGGGAATTATTGTTAACGGGTATGAAGTTTCAGTTTTGCAAGATGGAAAATTTCTGGAGATGAATGACAGTGATGGTTGCACAGCAATGTGAATGTACTTAATGCCACTGAACTGTACAATTAAAAACGGTTAAAATATAATTAGCTTTAAGAAAAAAATGGTTAAAATGGTAAATTTTATTGCATGTATATTTTACCACAATTTTTTTTTTAAAAAGTTGTTTACAGTGATTTACCTCTGGGGAATTGGATTGAGGAGACAGGATGTAGGCTGAGGACAATATTTTTCACTTAACACCTTCTGCCTGGCCTGCATTTTTCACAAGAAGCCTGTATTATTTTCATAATTAAAAAACTTAATGTCACAGCTAATTCAAAAATTCATTGGAAATTCTACACAGAATTACATTAAATTTATAAATTATTTGGGACATCCTTATAATATTGTCATTTACTCATATAGAGATGTTTTCAAAAATTTTTGTTTCTTAGTAAAGTTTTGGAATTTCTTCATATGGGTCCTACACAAGCTCTGCAGTTTATTAGTTTATTACTGGGTTTTATATATCTGTATTTCCATCTATAGATCAATATGTAGAGATATAAAGACATATAATATTATTACATCATTGTTATTGTTTGTAAAGTTAATTTGTCTCATTGAAGACTATTTTCTAATTGTTTTTTCTCTAAAATTGAAGGAAACTATTGGTTTTTAAAATTTTCTTGACTTTAACCTTAAAAATAATTCTGAAATAATTGGTGAGTTCAAGTTGTTGTTCAAGTTCAGGCTAAAATTATTGGTTTATGTAAAAATACTCTAGGTTTAGTCAATGTAATTGTTTTTATTTATGTGATTTTTTAAAAATCATGTAAACATGGCTTAAGAAAATAGCTATTATGAGGAACATTCTATAATGTAAATGACTACAGAATATAATACCTCTCATTTTCTGAAAAAGAATGCAAAGGAATAATGAACAAAAAATAATTATTAGCATAGATAGGATTTCCGTGAATAATTTATGAGAACCTAAACAAGGAAGAAACAATAGATATGACCTATTTTGAGTCCAGTAGACTTTTTTCAATATTTGTAGAAGATATTGTTTGTATATATTTTTTTCTTTTCAAAGGGAAAAGTGTTATATTATTCTTATTTCTGACTATAAATATATTATCATTGTAAAAAGCATTCAAATTCTATAGAAGAAAAGTACTTT